ATAGTTATATAGTTATTCTTAAATGCGAAATACGGACGTAACGTATTCGGTAGTTTGTATACATTTCGCCATCAACTCAACTCTTAATTTCGAACAGACGTCATCTTTCCCTTCTTCCATTATAACGTACAATGTAAACTGTAACGTACAATCAGTTGCAGGGATATTATCGATAAAGTGTACATATTTAGATATTTCCAGATCAAACACATTATTCGCTTCGTAATTAGGAATTGGGTTTCGCGATAAAGCATCTGCCATCGCCAATTGTTTTCCCGACATGTAGTTCACAGTATGATTAAATCGCGGAACCCTTAGTCTTTTTTGCTGCAATTTTAGTGTTAATTGTATAATGGCGTAGTCTGAAATATTTGAAGTAATGGCTTTTGGTCAGTTTCTAAAATAACATTAACAAACCCCTTTTCTTCAAAACGGAAGATATATTTATCATAAGTAATACCACAAGTGCTTTGGTAAATGTCGATAACTTCCCGATTCGCGAAGCGAGGAAGAAATTTATCTGAGAATTCCCACAACACGAGTGGTATTTAATAGGACTTTTTCACAAGTGAAATTACGTCTAACCGAGTTCCAAAATGCAAAAAAATATTGAATATAACTGAAAGCGTATGTTAAAATCAGAGGTTATTGTGGCGTTAGCGAATACGGTATTATTAAATAACATTATTTCTAATAGTTTTCCAACACCAGCCGGCCCATCCAAGCTGTCCCTCACGCACCCCTCAGGCCTGGATTTTTCAACGCGCACGCGACCCCCCTCCTCTGGGTGGCTCCACACAGCTATGACTACCCTATAGCGTGGGAGAGCCCGTGGCACACATTCTGAGCCGGCCACCACATATCTCTTTAGGAAACACACTCCGTCAGAAGCGACGTAACCACCCCCTTCGAGTATCTGCGGCACCACCCACATGCCATTAAGTAGAAATTATGTCCGCACTGCACCCGCTCCGACAAGCACGTGTTTCTTGTAAATTCGACGTTAGACAAGGGCACATGAGACAGTGAATCCTGGATATTTTCCACCCGAATTCCCTTTAAAACGCCTTCAGCGATTGGACTACCTAATTCTACTGCGCACACGATTGCAATCTATCACCAACCAGATTTCTAAAATCTGTAAAACTTTGATTACCATAGTGGGGGAACTGGGGTTTTCGTGAAGGCTTGCGCGAGCAGACAGAAGGAGAAGCAGAATCCGTCAGACGAGGTTGGGGGGAGAATCAGAGGCGAGCACGGGGTGAGGTTGGGGCAGGAAAGGAGACGTGGGCCGCGCTCGCGTCTGAGCGCCGGTCAGCCGAAGTAACGGTCGAATTCGGACTTAGAGATTTTGTTGAACGGCAGTGTTCGCAGTTCAGTCAGGTTGACGTGCCGTGCTTGGCCATTATTGATTAGATCAGCCGACATTTCAAATAAAATTCATCTCTGTTACAAGTCCGACGGACTTATCAGTCATAAACGCCGCTTGAAGCACCGATTACGACCGGTATTATTACTCGTCGCGCGGAAGCGACTTGGGAACCTGCCGCGGTCGCCGCCTACTGTCGTCAAACCAGAGCGTCATTGTCTGGAGGGTGTCGACCCGGTCAGCTGAGCTGCACGCACCCTCGCGGACTTGGAGCGACAGGGGCGGCCAGGATCTCCGCAGCGAGGGAAGCGACCTTGACCCAGCGGATCATCGGATTCGAGTCCACCACCACGGTGACGATATTTTCAAGAGCTTTGGCTAATAAGCTCTAAACTGCCCCTCAGGCATTTAAGAAAATTGACTCTTGAAATGTAGTGCTAACTTCTAAAGAAAAAAAATATTCTTAGCCGCGCTTTGGCTCGCAAGTAAATAATCTGCGATAAAAAAAGCATGTAAACTATTTGTCATAAAATTTAGTTTAATAATTTTGGATTATTACTGTGGGGAATTTAATACGAGCTCGTACTAGGTCTAGGGAAAGTATTGCGTATTTTATTTTATTTAGGTAATTAAAATTGGATGTTAAATTCCTCTCGAACTTTTTATTTACACTGAACTCTTGTTTATTGTTATGCGCAGGGAATTCGCAAATCGCTTCTTGCGCTTGTTCTAACAGGAAGGATACTACCGTTGTTTTACCGTTGACCATAAATCTATCGTACCTGCTTTGAAAACACTTTTCTCTATTTAGAGTAATCCCTTCTTCACAAAGTATTTTTCAGAACTTGAGTTAAAATTCGGTCATTTCTTCAACTAGCCCGGCGAAAATCAAAATATCGTCGTTATGAAATCCCACACAGGCAATTAATGCGAATAATTTAAAAATATTTTTGAAAAATATTCTGGTGGACAGTTTATCCCAAATGGTAATCTCTTAAACAAGAATATATGAAAGAGATGATACACCAATCGGGGGAAATAAAGCGGGGGAGGACCACGTGACCCGCAAAGCCGAGGTGGCAACTGAAAGACGCTACCTCTGCCATTCCGATTCCGATCAGAGAGACAAGAAGTAGGTGGGCCTTGCCGAGGTGGGGGAGAGGGCGAGATGATTTGACTCGCGGGGGGACGCCAGCGAATGCATTGCCGAATCGCAGGCCGCCTCTGGGGACGCTGATTCTGAACGAGCGCAGTGGGTCATGACTAAGTGCCCGACCGCGAGCCCAGAGAGACGACGGCCAAGACGCAATTAACGCAGCCGCGTACCGTGCCACCGATGCCCTGACCAGCGCTCTTGGCGCCCGTTGATGACACCACGCCGCATCGACGCCGTTGCCACCCGGTAGCTCGCGGAGCTGTCCGCCTTGCTGATGGGCAAAGGGATGAGGCGATACGCAGCCGGCCGATGACCGCCACCCCTGTAACCAGGGTCGTGACCACCGGGAACGGCGCCCCGCGCGCAGCGCCCGGCGGCCTTGCTGAAGGGCAAAGGGGTGAGGTGAGGCGCTGCTTGCCGCCGACCACACCACGCTTCGCCAAACGCCGGGGCGCGAGGTCGCCGCTCCCGCGAGAAAGGTCTTGACCGCCGGGAGGACACAGCTCGCCACCCAATGATGAACTCTGGTCCGTACGGCCATATAAGATTAGATATAAGGTAGTTCTAAGGATTAATTTTAGCTTGAGGCTTCATCTCGTACAAAAAGGAACATTAAAACAACATTTTGAAAATGTAACCATGGGTTTGAATGTAGTGGTAGCATTAGAGTTAGGCCGCTTGCCCACGCCGCGGCAGAAGCGCGCGAACGTCAATCATCAGGGCTCTCCGCCGACGACGGACAAAGGGACCGAAGCAGGTACCTGCTGGTCCCTAGGGTCCCTTCCCACGTCGCGACGGCGCAGTGTTCCGAGCGCCGTGGCTCGTAGCAGAGGATTGGTTTGAATGGAGACCTTCCCACGTGCAGCGGGCGTGCGCTGCTGCGCCAAGCGTCGCCGGACACTCACTACGCGAAGCGGAGGGCGTAAGCGCCACCGCTAGCAGAATACAGCTTTAAATGGTAGCCTTCCCACTGTGCCGCCGGTCGCTGCGTTTTATCTGCTGCGGTCCCTTTGTTCGTCGTCGCTGGAGGGTTGGTGAAACATACCGCTGCAGAACCCACCCACGGCGGGTGGCGGTGCGGCCGTGGCTGCGACGGTGGCGGCGTCTGAAGGGCTCTACTGCTTGAAGGAGGCGCGCCGCCGTCGCGACGTGGGAAGGCGCCCTTAGGGAGTCTTCCCACGCCACCACGGCAGGACGCGTCTGTCAAGACTCGCTACGCGAAGCGGAGGGCGCACGGGCCACCGCTAGCAGAACGTAGCTTCAAAAGGTAGGCTTCCCACTGCGCCGTGGCCGCCGCAGAGCTGTTTATACCTGCTGCGGTCCCTTCGTTCGTCGTCGTATGTTTTTCAAAATCGCAGCGCGTCGATTTGAGCCAGATCGATCGGGGAATATCCATTTTGAAAAAAAAACAACATAGTATGGTGCTAGTGGTGTTCACAGCCGAACGGACATTTTGCCGTCAACTGATTTTTCAGTACCGAAGACCCACAAAACATGGATTCTAGCTACACAAAGGGTTAGAAGACTTTTTCAGAATTTAGTTGTTTTTTTTTCTAAATTCTAATTTAGATTTTTCTAAATTCTTTTTCGTTATCTGGGCCCGGCTACAAGAGTTGTTCTACCGGAAATTCACAATTTTTTCGCGTAGGATTACGTAACTTTCTCTCTACTGTGTAAGAGGTAGCTAGAAAGTAACAGTACTAATTTGGTACTATAATCGTTGAATTTAAAGCTGCAAAACGACGAAGGATTAGGGTATTAAATCTTAAATTCTCTTACACAGATGTAAACAGATTAAATTTACATAAAAACGCATTATATCGAATAATATCTAAACGCATGTTACAAATTAAACATTCGCTTACACACAAACATTACTGTCCAGGATTGAAGAAAGTCGACAGAATTGCACAAAATAGGTCTCAAGCTCCTTCTACTTGTTCTTTTTATATTTTTTTCTCTCTTTTCTTCTTATTCATTTGAGATATTTTCGTTCTCTTCTTGAGTACTTATACCCCGCAGGGGCGGATCCAGGCGATCGTTTTGTATGGGACCATTGTAGGTTTGTTGTTAAATAATAAACATTTATTATATTTTATATTATTCTGCGGTGTATATATGATGTTATACAGTATAATTTAAAAAAAATAATTATATAATTTTAATATAAATACATATTTAAATCAATTTTGCCAAATAAAAGAACGCAACAAAACTCTAGGCCTTATGGGGGAGGCATGGGCTCTCCTGAATCCGCCACTAATTACCGCACCTTCCCCAGGCACATGCAAGCGATCCACGCCTTATTCTTGTTTTGGGCACATTGTAATTGCGCGAAATGTCACAGAGACCTAAGGTCACTCGCTTGGCGCTTTTAGAAAGACCTTACTCCGTCAAGACTATTTGTGGTTGCGTCGGTCACACTCCAATACGGGGATGTCGTCGTAGCACCGCTTGTCAAACAGAGTAAGGAAGAGATGAGCTTTCACACGCCTCTGGAGAACAGTCGACGTCATTGTCCATACGTACGACAGGTTAAAATACAGGGAGATTCAGGATTCCCATAAGGCCTTTCTTGCGCCCCCCCTTTCGATCCGTCACTGCGATTATATTAGTAACATATCCAATTGCTTGAGTTACGCATTTGAATTTGTTTTGATACAAAGTTTTAGGGTATGTTTTTATTGATTTTTAGCTATGTTTTAGGCCATAAAAATCTGTCGCTAGTTATATCCTAGGGATATTATATAAATGCCCGACTGCGAGTCACGCGTGATCAATAAATTAAGATAGGTTTTTTTTTTTTAATTCAAAATGTTTTGGTCGAATATGTCATATTACAGGTTATGTAGAATGGCAGGTTTAAGGTGGTTAGAGCGAGATAAGTGTTATGTTTAACATGCGTTTTTTATTATCTTAATCGAAAGATAAGAGGTTCATCTATGTTCTGGTAGAGTTTGAATCGCTTTCACCGTCCAGTTTTTGGGTAACGAGACCGTTAAGTTTGCTGTTTTAACATGGGCTCTTATGGGAACCTGAGAGATCTGACCTGAAATTTTAAAATTGTGAGAAAATTAACTGTTGAACATGCTTTTAAAAACTTTTCTTTTGGTAGTTAGCATCTCGAAGAATAAACATGCGCAATTTGAAGGAAAATCTACTTCTTCAAATGGGAGAAATTTGCAAAATTATAAGCCTAAATCAGTCCGAAGGGAGACGTTCGCGCGCTTTCTAGAGGGTCGGGTCAGTGACGAGCATCTCGGCAACACCGCGCGCTTTATTCAAATCGAGTGACATGACCTTGCAAGAGTTCGTACATTCCCCTGGATCTTCTGGGATCAACTATATCATCACTCCTGGAGAACATTAATTTTGATAGTAACCAGATATTCAGAAAATTGGAAATTTATGGATGTGTTTAGTGCGATCTGAATGAAATTTTAATTCAATTAATATTCCCAATGACTCTTTTATTGAGTATTATTGTTTTGTATTGAGCCGTAAGTCAGTTTCTTGCTCCTGAACAATGATTATTTATTCAAAAAATTCGAACTATTCGAAAAATTATTCATATTCTCTTTTTTATTATGGAGATACTCAGTGGATTGTCATTGTCTTTTGTATCACATACGCTTACATAGAACTCAAAGCAACAATCTTTAGCATAGATCAGCACCTCAAACGGTATTGCTACTCAGTGGGCATTTAATTCAGAAAGAAATAGACTTTGCAGTGGCTTCAAATGTGTTGCAATGATAAAATACTGTTTTGCTGGTGTTAAATAAAAACATTTTATGAAATGTTATGGTAACCATTCAATGTATAGGTGAATGCAGAGCTGGATTTTCTCCTAGCAAAATTAGGCTTGGGACACCCATCCTCGTGCCAGTTTTTTTAAAAATAAATATTAAAAGTTTCATAAAATGTTTTTATTTGAATAAGCATTAATCAAATAGTTTACTGAACAACATTTTTTGATTTTAAAAAAATGGAACGGAACAATAAGAAACCAAACATGTATTTGTAAATGATAAATTTAAAAAGCAATTTCTACTTTGAAAGTAATTTGTTAATTTACATCTGTATTAGTGCAATGATTTATTCTATCATAATTACTGTTTTTTAGATTGATTCATTATTAGTTTTAAAGATTTTTCTGAAGGAGTGCCCAGTATAGTTTTGTGCTTGAAGGCCTATAGTATTTAAATCCGCTTGGGCAAATTTAATAATTACATTTAATTGAAATTGTAAGAGGAATTCAGCCTTTGGCAGTTTTAGTCCAAACTTTTGATTTTGTTAAGCAATCGAATAATCTAAGGTTTGCCCTACCATTGGTTCAGGTAATTCAAGAAATAAAAATTAGAGAGAAAAAAACATTGAAAAAATATTTTAAACTTTTTATTACGTTATTTTTCTCGTAATAATGGGGGAATTATTTCGTTTTCTCCCAAATTCCGCCTTCGAAATAAATTTTTCGCCAATTCGCTTTGATTGTGATATTTACCGCGCGTCGACCAGACAACGAACAGTATTCATTGTGATTCAAAACAACGAAACTTTGAAGAAGCATGAGCTCTGAGCAGTCATGCCAATCTCAAGGACATTACGGTGTTGCCCGATTTCCGATTTATTATAGATTTTTTGTCCCACTCACACATTGAAATTTTTCCCATTATTAGCGATCACTGTACAAAAATATATAGATATGTGTCTATAATCTTACTTTTTTATGTTCAATCTTATGCTTCAACTTTTCATTCTGTGGTCGCGCGATCTGTTGGTACTAGTTAAGAAACTAGTCAACAGTAGCTCTATGTGGTATTAAAATCTTTTTATTTTATAGCTATTAAACTAAATTAATTCGAATGATTAAAAGAAACTCAGCATACAAGTCCCTATTTGGTTTATGTAGGTCCCACAATACTGACTTATCTCGAAAATAATTATTTATGGACGTAATATGGACTCTCTGTCTACTAGGGAATATCTCGCTCTACCACCTTAACTCGGCTCTTGTTTCGGTATGATTTTATTTGTTGTAATGATTATTCAAAAATATTTTTGATTGAAAGTTTCGTGAAAGTTAAAATTAATGGAAACATTTTGAGGGGAGAAATGTCGAAAAATCGAAATACAGCATCGTTCTGCTAAATCTACCCAAAAATTCAATGATTTTATACGTATTTTAGTTTCCTTACGCATATAACAAAAACATGTTTAGTAGAAGTTTTGAACAATTTTTTAGGTAAAAAATGGATTAAACTTAATGTATGTTGTCTGTTCAAAGTGAACAGTGGGTTCATGAGGAAAAACAAGTATTTCTTTACTGTTCATAAAAATATTTGGCTATGTACGTTATCTAAGTAAATAATAGATCTATTGGACAAGTAACAACCCGGGATTCTTTCCTTCATTAGTGCAGCATTTAATTGCGGATCAGTGCGTTCCTTTCGACACTTATGATATTAACCCTTTCAATCCCACTGTAGTGATATGGCTACATTAATTACTTAATTTGATTACA